GGCCGAAATGAGCTTTCTCCGCAGGGCGGCCGGGCGCACCCTTAGAGATAGGGTGAGGAGCTCGGTCACCCGGGAGGAGCTCAGAGTAGAACCGCTGCTCCTCCACATCGAGAGGAGCCAGCTGAGGTGGCTCGGGCATCTGTTTCGGATGCCTCCTGGGCGCCTTCCTAGGGAGGTGTTCCGGGCATGTCCCACCGGGAGGAGGCCCCGGGGAAGACCCAGGACACGCTGGAGGGACTATGTCTCTCGGCTGGCCTGGGAACGCCTCGGCAGGCCCCCGGAGGAGCTGGAGGAAGTGTCTGGAGAGAGGGAAGTCTGGGCATGTTTGCTTAGACTGCTGCCCCCGCGACCCGGTCCCGGATAAGCGGAAGAAAATGGATGGAATGATGGACAGTACTATTTTCAGTTAAGTACCAAATGCAATTTCATGGCCGTACTAGAGTACTGGAATATACTTTTAAGTCTCCTTGGATTATAAGTCATAGGACCAGATGGATGACTAAAAATGGCAATTTATAGTCTAGAATACAGAGTATTTGTTCTATTACAGGGCACATTTGCAAATACGTATTTACTTGTCAACCATGGAGGTGTTGCAGGTGTACACATGGATGCCAATGCCGTTGCGAGATTTGGCATCCCCAGCACCGCAGACAGTATGCAGACCCTGCAACACACAGACACACATAACTCCAATCAATTAACTGACAATCTTTAATAAAAAATTATGTGAAAAAAAAAAGATTGAAACTTACAGCCACAAAGTCCAATGTTTGAGGTTTAGATGGGGCAAGCCTCATTCAAAATGCTGAGTAACGATCTACTAATTATGTGCACCTGGTGTGATATACCTGTGTGTGATTTGAGCCATTTTAAGAGGGCATACATGTGAGGGTGTGCTATCTTTTTCCTCAGTTAGAATAGGCATTTTTGTAGAATTACATTTACAGAAGATCTTGAAAAGACTTTTCTTCAGTTTTACTTGTTTAGTTGTATTACTTTAATCTCTCTGTATTGTTAAAATTGAGATTAAATAACCATATATTAAAACATGTTACAAAATACACATGCTTTCAAAGGGTGTCCTAATTTTTTCACATGACTGTACGTATTTACTTGTCAACCATGGAGGTGTTGCAGGTGTACACGTGGATGCCAATGCCATTGCGAGATTTGGCATCCCCAGCACCGCAGACAGTATGCAGACCCTGCAACACACAGACACACATAACTCCAATCAATTAACTGACAATCTTTAATAAACAATAATGTGAAAAAAAAAAGATTCAAACTTACAGCCACAAAGTCCACCTTCTTCTCGGTAGATTTAGGAATGCTAAATGGCAACCATCGCAGCTATGAGAGATACCTCAAAGTCAGAATCTACTCATTCAGAAAACACGGACAGTTTAAAGAAATGCATGCCAATGGCATTGGTGCTCAGAAGTATTAAAGGCCGTGAAATGATATTTTCCTGATATTGTAAGCATGAACACACAATATTCTGGCTAAGTTAGAACATTTTTGGTTATTTCAAATGAGAGACTTTTGTATTCCTTTATGCCTGCTTTTCTAACTAGTCTGAAGTGGGTGGTGAGTGTAGTAAAATTTTAATCTAAATGTGATGACAATTGTTTGTTCTTTGTTTGTTGTGATGATGATCAGATTTGATTAAACCACACCTACAGGTCCTGATTAAACAGATCAGTTTTATTATATCTGTACAATATGAAGTTGCCACTGGCAGACAGTTGGTTAGCTTAGCATAAAGCCTGGAGCTACCCTGGCTTTTTGAAAAGATAAGGAGACCCACCTATGTGCACCTAAAATCTCATTAGCATGTTATATCTTGTTTGTTTAATCCTTACTAAAAATTAGCTAAACAGTGAGAAGCTAGATGTTTGTCCCTGTTTCTAGTCTTTAAACTACACCAAGCTAAGACCTAAATTAAAATTCTATGCACTTTAGTTTTCACTCAATTAAAACACAGACGCAATGAGCAGGGACTCTTCTTATTGAGCCTTGCTATACCTGGTTAGGGTCAGGCTCCACTTCATTCCAGTCCTCTGTTAGATCCCCACATGGCATCGGGGTAAAGGGCTTATGTTTAACAGATGGTAGGATACGGTACAACCAGCTAGAAAAGAAAGGACCAGTATTAAGTTATTCATAATATGTAAGATATGGGCTGATTTACGTGTCAGAGAAAACCGGATACCTCCTCTTATTGGATGGACGCGGACAGGTGAAGGCAGATCCGGAGAGCTGCTCAGCATAGAGGCCATAGGGACAGACCTGAGGGCTGTTCTATAAAGACAGTGGAAGAGTTCAGCCAGGATGTTAATGTTATTTGCATGATGTGTGCTATATTGTGCATGCACGTCATTGGCAGATCTGTCAGGTGCTCAGTAATTTCACAAAGGTTTTGAATCAATTCAATAATCACAATATAGACACAGGGAAGTCATAGGGCATTAGTACAGTTTGATTCGTGTGGTTAGACTTTTTTTTTTTTTTTTTTGCAGTCAAATGAGAGCAAAACTTGAGGGAAAAAAGCAAGTTGGAGCCTGTTAGGATCAGATGTTTCTATTTTCCTTGGAAGACATGGACGAATCACAGCAGCATTTGGTTGGTGTCACATCCTAAACCCTATAGTGTCATATTAGGTGTTCATTCAATTCACTTAAACACAAAATATACCAAAATCAATGATAAAATGAGCCCATTATTGCGCTACCTGTCCCTCAGGTAAGGATCCTGGACAGCGAGGGTCTTCAGAGGAGAACTCATTCCCAAAACCACTCATGTACTGAAACAGACAGACAAACATTTAACACTCAAACGGAAAAGAAAAAAAAAAACAATAGCAGCTTCATTGTAATGCAGGATAAATATGTTCATGCTGGTTGTAATTAAATTTAGGGGCTTGTCATTAAGGCTTGCCTTTTTTAATTGTTGTCACATTGATTCACATTAGAACTATGATAAAACAAACTGCAGTTATGCCAAATTTACCCCTTGCAATCATCCATTATTTTGTGTTATTATGTTAGAGAAACTGACTAATTACACTAGCATCCTCCACAGTGCTATTTGATCAATATTTCAATTATAATAAGATTATTACTCCACTGTCCTCCTTTGAAGACACGTATCACCTGCATCCATAAGTTGTCTTCCCTGCCAATGAAGACCATAAACTTGGCATAAAGTAAAAAAAATGTTGCCGAGTCATTGTTAGTCTGCAAAGGGGGTGGCTTCCAAACGTGCGCGTTTATGCACTAAAGTGGGTGCATAAATAGGTAAAGGAGGCCCCCATTCAGCTTGGACTTTAATGTCAAAGAAAATAATGTCCAGGACCCTTTTACATCACATTTTCTTAAAACAATTCTGAGATAAAATTCGGAAAGGAAAGAAACAGTTCCACGTAGGCTATTCCCACATCTCTGGCTTTTAGACATAAATACATAGCTTATCAATAGGCTGTCTTCAAGAATAGGTCACTGAACTGGGTGGGAATGTCATAGCTTATGTAAAAGGTTTTCAGGTTTATTCTACTGAAAATAATTTCTACCAATACAGTATTATTTTTCTGCAAATCTGTTCTGGCATTTTAGACAGACCACATCTGGGCAGCTGCTCATTCCAGCGCTCTGATTGGTCAGAGGCAACACCGCCCTTCAGTCAGCCGTTCTACATCTGTTATGGGCTAAATGATGTCTTGATGCATGGCATTACTGCGATTAGCGTTAGATCCTAAGACTCGGGAATAGATTCTAGGTAAAGTGAAGTTTAATCCCCATAGATGTGTCTCATTTTACCTTAAACTAAACCTAACTTTCCCCCTAACACCTAAACAGTGGTGCTTACCCTGACTCCAACTTTATCCTATGCGGATACCATTGCCTACTCCCGACTTTTGGGATGTAATGTTCAGTTTAATTTTGAATAAAGGTGATGCAGAATATACATCAATGGGTGAAATACCTCGTTTTCCTTACAAGCCATATGCTAGACTAGTATCTACACCATGTTTGCATAGACTCTTCTCAGACTATTCAGAAACATTTGCTAGTCAGATGCACACTTTAAGCACTGGTGGAAAAAACAGGATAAAAATATACATTCTGCCTTACCTGGAGTCCAGCCATTGCACTGTCTTCTAAAACCTTTCTTGTTCCCGTTGAAAGTGTTTCAGCAGTTAAAAATTAACTTGTCTGACCATTCCATGCGACCAAAATCCACTTTGCTCATACCGTTGCAGAAAAGGGGGTTGGAGTTATGATCTTTCTCCATGCGGGTTTAATTAGACCTTGACAGTGACGCAAAACCTGGGTTTTCAGCCAAAGGGACGGGATGGATGGCCGAAACATGCAAACAAGGACCAGTGTCACTGGCAAGACAAACATGACCCAACACAACGTTTTAAAGTTCTGAGTGCAACAGGTAACCGATATTTTGCTTTACATGGAGTAAAAAGCGAATTCTTGTTGGACGTTTTCTCACCTTTAGGCTTGAGACAACACAAATGGTATTATATTATAGACGTATAGGCCTCATAATAAAATATTATAGGCCCTATTCCTATTTGGACTATAATGATGTAAGGCTTAATAGGTTCAAATATAACTATAAATTACGGTGTGACAGATACAGTGTTAATATGTGATAGAGTAGTGACATGGTGAGATAGCATTATAGGACTACTTGTGCAAACAATTGTGACATGATCATCGTCACGTGCTGCAAAACAAACATCTGAGCAAAAAAATCTATTGAATAGAGTCTATGAGCTCCTAAATTTCCTACACCTTTATTTATTTTTAACATGAATCTTTGTTGTTTACAACAGAGGCAAACGTGCCACCATCCCTCTCGACTTAACTCTCCAGCGGTTCATCAAGTTTTCCTTCATTTTGTCGTGCTTAACAAACACTGAGCTAATGGCTCATGTGAAGTGACTTATCATTTTAGCTACATAATTAACTGACATAGGCCCGTCTTGAACCAGCATAATGCAACAAGCACTGCTGATATGAACAATAGCACAGACCCCCAAAAGGCCATTACGCAAAATTTATTCAGTTCATTTCTTGGAATAGATGGTCAAACGAGGATGTAATGTCTCTCATGCAGCATACATTTTTAAAAAAAAA